TTCATGAGGCAATGTCTTCGGGAAATGATCACGGGAAATGACATCAGCTGGATTGTTGTCTGAAGATATATGCAGTGCCGTTCCTGGCGGGTATGCAGCGAATGCCCCGCACGCAGGCGCCCAATACAAGGGGCGCCAAATTCAACTATTCGAAAAAAATCAAATTATAGCAAATTATTAAAAATCAAATTATTAAAAATCAAATTATAGCAAAGCTGTAAACTTTGATTACAGGAAGAAACAGTAAACTAATATAAGAAGTAACTTCTACACTTTGCTTCTACACTGGAATTTATGACCTCTATATTGTACGTTAATAGTCTATTTTATTTGATGTCGAAAATAAATTTTTGTCATATTCTTTCGTTGTTTTATTTTATTACGCCCATTTTCATAATCAAACACTTACACTAAAGTGATAGTCTATAAGGAAACCATTCAGTTTAAACCTCAAACTAAAAATGATTATGAAAATTGGCCTTATCATCAAAATTTAAGCATAGTATATAGGGGCGCACAAAATTATTCTTGCACGCAGGCGTTCGCCACCCCAGGAACGGCACTGGATATATGTTTTCACTCATAACATTCGGTCAGTTCATGTATTTGTGAAGCCCTGTTGCTCACAAATGTTTTAAGAAGGCGAGGAAAGTTTTTTAATCTATGTAAGTACAATAGTCGAGTCTGTCCATAAAATTACCCTCTCACAATTCCTATCTGGGTATGGTGTTGTTGTTACTTCAAATCCCCAAGAGGTCCATCCTAATTAGACCAATTCCATAAGTCCAAAAATGTCCAGAAAGTCTAAAAACAGATGAGGCTTTTAAAAAACCTCGTCGATCTTAAAATCGATACAGTTTAGAATATGCTCGGGCGAAGCCTGAGCAGTCTTACATTTAGTGCAAAGTCCAAAAGTCTTTTGCCCTTGAACATAGAGACACCTCAAGTGACCACTTGCAAAGCGAGATAAACATGTCTGCTGGCATCTAGGTCCCTCAAAAAGCAAGGAACTTCCAGGTCGTTTTCTGAAATACCAACTATGCGAAGGAGGAACCCTCCAGAGGTTTTTTTGCACTCTGCAAAGACCTCATTGAAAGTGGAAGGTAAATCTGGCTGTAAATGTTCTAAAGAAGCATCTTTAGCCAGTGAGTCCGCCATCCCGTTACCTTTGATTCCAACGTGTGATGGCATCCATTGGAAGTGTACCCCAAAGTCCGCTGAGAGCCTGAAGAGCATCCCCAAAATTGAAGCCGCAGCCCTGTCTTCAACATTCATTCAGCTGCTAAGGTGTTGGATTGAAGATTTGCTATCCGTCAGTATCCATATATGCTTAAAGTCAGGCTCAGCAATATTCTCAACATGTCTTAGGCCATTTTCAATCGCAATAAGCTCAGATCTGAAAACCGAGCAAAATTCAGAATTTCTAAATTTGAGACTCAATGTGTACGTGGGTGTTTTAATAAAAACCCCACTACCTGAATGACCTTCGTCGCTCTTGCTGCCATCTGTGTATAGTTGTAAAGCATCTGTTGGTATTTGGCTAATAGTTTCAAGAGCCATTTGTCTCATAAATTCTGGGTTGTCTTTACTTTTATAGGCCGGGTACAACAGATGGATACCAGAAAAATCAGTAACAGGGCTAAAATATGACCTCAAGGAATGAGATTCAATTCGGCAGGGATATTGCAAGTCTACAAGGTGAATTGAAACAGCCAAAGAGAAGGGACTGTTTCTATTCAGTCTATGGTTATTTTTCCAATTTTTGAGATAGTAAGAGGTTCTGTTCTGGTCACCAAAACTGATGAGCTTATAGTAGTATTTCTTGAGACTGGAGTTCCTTCTCATGTATAACGACTAGAGGTCAGATTCAAACAGAGCAATTTTATCTGGACAGCTACGCCTCAAACCTGTAATAATTTTTGCAGCACTAATTTGAACTCTTTCCAATCTATTCAGGTTTGTCTCTGAAGCACAGGAATAAATAGGTGCCCCATATTCCAGTATGGGTCTAATAAGTGCAGTGTAAGTTAATTTCAAAGTTGTAGCATCTACTCTCCCCAGTCTTGCCCAGAAATATATTTTAGGATATTTAACCTCTTTCTACACCTCGATTCCAGCAGTTCGATGTGCTTATTGCCATGAATCTCCTGATCCGTAATAAAACCCAAATATTTTGCATTCTTTTCATAAGGCAAATTTTGACCGTTAAAACAAATAGTAGGTTTATAATTGTATATGTGCCTATTGGTAGTATAAAAACTAACAACAGATTTAGATGAGTTAAAAACCAGTTTGCGTTTTTGAGCAAAGTCACTCACATCTTTTAGAGTGAGGTTGATATTGTCTTCAACAGTCTTAATGTCATCACCAGAGTGCCAGAGGACGACATCATCTGCAAAAATACCAACATTACATCCCTTAGATATCACCTTTTCGATGCCATCAAAAAATAGGCAGAAGAGCAGAGGTCCCAAGACGGAACCCTGGGGGACTCCCTGGCCGAGTCTTCAAGAAAGATTCCGAGAAGAATTTCTTGAGAGGGTCTTATTGAATTTAACTCTGATGGTTCTGGCCCTTAAATAATCAGAAATCCAGGGGAGAGCGTTACCTCTAATTCTAAAGTCATCAAAAAGTTTGATTATTAGCTTATTTCGCCACACTTTGTCAAAAGCCTTCGTTAAATCCAAGAATGCAGCCACAGTATGATTAGTGGGCCGCATATTCTGAGCGTTTCTTACACTCTGGCAAAAATATAAGATTTGGTCAATCGTACTATGGCCTTTTCTAAAACCGTACTGCTCTTTTGGGAGCAGGTCGTTTGTTTCGAAATAAAAAATAAGCCCATTTAATACCATTTCTCCATTATTTTACACGGGATGCTAGTTAAGGAGATGGGACGATAACTCTCAGGAGATCCAGCATCTTCGTCCATCTTCCTTATTGGGATGACAATCGCCTTTTTCCAGTCAAGTGGTATACGACCTCTTTTCCATGACTGATTAATAATATCCAATAATTTGAGTTTGCCAATTTGGTCCAAGATGCAGAATCATATGAGCATGTATATTATCTGGACCAGGGAATTTCTTTGGATTGGCATCACTCAAAACAAAGTCAAGTTCATGCATAGTAAAAGCAGTAATAAAGATCGAGTCTCCAAAGTTTGAACTGCGACATTTATGAACCTTATTTCTCGCATTTGCTTCAATTGGTTTATCATTTTCATTGAATGACAATTTACTCACTTGCGTGTAGTAATCACCCAAACAGTCTGCAGCAGCCTTATCGTTGAGGGGAATATGATCGACCTGGCTCACAATTGTATTACATTTTTCTATTTGAGGATGCTGATTACCCAGAGCCTTGGCAAGTTTCCACAGTTTTGTGCTGGGAGTTCTAGCATCAATTTCATTGCAAATCTGGGTATGGTAAGAGATTTTATCGGAGCTCCCCGTGATTTACTGCACAGCAATATCGAAGACCCGATAATATTTGAAAACAAATAGCTGCTCTAAATGCCAACAAAGAAGCAACAGCAAAATCATGCAATGCTATGTATCTCGGGATATTAGATGTATCATTTTTTTAACTCTGAAAGGGTGGTTGCAAAACTATTCCACTCCTAGACCAATTTTTCTGGTAGTGGATCACCCCAATCAATTTAGGAAAACCACTGTTTTTGAATTATAATTTTGGCCCTTGTGAAAATTGGACCAACTAAGCCAAGAGGATCGAATATCTTCGAAGTGTGGGATAGAGCATCTCGTTTATTGTAAGACTCCTTTCTTGCAACTGTCACAGTATACGAAAAACAATCAGCGTTGGGATTCCAAAGAGCACCTAAAGCCTTACTGAGCACGGTTCCGGTTGATGATCGAAATTATAATCTGTACCATCCTGATTTTCATTAGCAAGTAGTTCTGGATGCTTAGCACATCATTTTTGCAATTTCATGCCGTCTCGTTCTAACAGTTCGTAATTGAAGTATTCTAGCTTTATCTAAAGTGGATTCGCCAGATGAAATATCATCAATATAAAAATTAGTAAGAGTAAAAGGATATGCCAAAGGAAAATTTTCATACTCATCACGAGTCATCATACTAGTTGACGAAGTCTACGTGTAGCCAAATAAGAAGCGTTGGAATCTTCGTATGTCACAGTTTTGAGTCTATATATATGTAAATGTTCATCAGGAGTGTCCTTCCTGAAAATTCTAAGGAAGTCTCTTTGATCTGAATTTACTACGATCTGTAAATATATTTTTAAAATGGCTGCTGTGAAGCATGCCGATGTTTACGGAAACGAAGCATAATTGGAAAAAAAGCTCTTGTTGCGGAATTTTTCAATTCAAAAGAATACCATTCAACAATAAGCCCTATGTTGAAGGAGCTGATGCGTTAAAAACTACGCGAAGCTTAGTAGAAGTTTTGTGGGGGCGGTAAACTCCGTGGTGAAGCAAATAGTAACAATTACTGTGATTTAGATCTTTATATTCTTTTAGAAAATCAGTATAAAGTGGTTGTCGGTTTGATTTCCGCTATAATCTCAAATGTTGAAAAGTGGATGTTGATCTATGTTGTAAAGTGGAGAGCATATCTACTACTCCATTTACAATGTATCCTAAAGCCGTCCCAGGTAGCAAAAAGATATTATCTAATATTAGAAAGATGCAATATAATACTGCCGTGCTAGAAAACGCAATACTCTTGAATCCTATCTTCTAATATTAGAACTAATATTATATAAAATTAAATAGTATTCGATCCAACATTCAAACTTTCAAAATTATTATCTATTTCATTATTTTTGGTACAGCGCCACATTTTTGCGAAAGGGTATCCCATATTATTAATAAATAAACATGTATTTATGAAAGAAAACAATAAATTAAATTTTACTTAAAATATAATTTTCAGCCAACGCAATGTTAAGGTCAGAAAGCACAATATAATATTGGCAGAAATAAGCTGAGCTCGCGAGTTCAGTTGTTGAGTTGTATAACTTCTTCACGGTTGTTTACATTCGCCGCCATTGTTTGTGGTAGTCTGTGAGAATGAAATTTTTAACTTCAAAGGTATTTATGATTGAGTATTTTTTAGTTAACTTTATAAATTTCAATGATAGATACATAAAACCTTAAAGTAGTATCGTAGGTAGTGTTTTTCCTGTAGAAACATTCAGTGTAGGTACTTAATAATCTTGACCACTTAATCAAAACATTCATGAATTCGTTTAATGATCTAATAAATTTATCAGTAAATATTATGATTGTGCTCATTTTTGACAATGCTCGCTCGTAGTAGTTGACTACTATGTTAAAACTTATAGTCTGACTATAAATAATAAGTATTGTAGTTAGTTTAGAATAGGCTCGTAAAAAACATTTGTTTACTAGGTAATTCGCATCTGACAGAATTTCACTACCACAGTGATAAAGATAAAAATTAATTTTTAATAAAAAAGTTTTCCATGTTAAAATAATTATTAATTAATCGGCTACTTTTCAGTTAAAACCATTGCATTGTAGAATGTTTGAAATTTTATTCATAAAGCGAACACTATTGTTACATTATTTAAATTTCCTGTTTAATATATTGTAAAATAATAAGTTATTTTAATTTCTTGAATATAGGCAGATTTGCATGTTTTTGATACATGATTAATTATATTAATTTATAAATGATAGCAAATGGTTTAAAAATAAGCAACAATATGGTCTAATCAAAGTGTGTTAACGTTAAATGAAGAGCAGTGCTTGAAAGGTGCTACAATTTTTATTTAGGAAATTTTTAATAAAAGTGTGAACATTTCCTATTGGCTGAACGAGCTTATACAATGCACAAAAATATTTTTATAGTTAAGTGTCATTGTACTTAATCTTTAAAAAAAATTCAAAAGCATTAAATTTGATATATTTTTGTATCTGTATATATTCTTGAATATTCACTTCAAATAAAAAGAGCTTAAGGGTTTTATACTATAATTTCCCCTTTTTTTTACAACAAAAGAATGAAATTATTACTTGAGAGTGTTTATAAATGAAATATTTTTTGACACTTGCGTGGTGATAATGAGATTTTTTGGTGCCGATATTGTTACGGAAATCTACCCATTAAATTTTAGGCATTTTCAAATTAAATGATTTAAGTTTTAAGGAAATATTCAATTCTTAATAGTTTTAAATTTAATGTTTTCAATGTATAGTTTCACTTTTTTCTCTTATAATTTTAGCTTCGTCTGCTGGCTTTAGAAGCTTATCTACCAGGAAGGATTGGAAGGTATTTTGAGATTGACAGCTGGACTCTGCAAATGGAAAATGATACACGGTGGTAGAAAACTGAGAGCTTTAAGTTCGATCCGTACAGAAAACAGAACAACTGGTTTGGAAATGCTATCGATGTGCTTAAAATTTGTCGGGGAAGGAAATTTTTAACTTCAAAGGTATTTATAATTCCGTAATTTTTAGTAAACTTTATAAATTTCAATGAAGATACATAAAACCTTAAAGTAGTATCTTAGGTAGCGTTTCTCCTGTAGAAACATTGAGTATACTTAATAATCTTGACCGCTTCATAATCAAAACATTCAAGAATTGGTGTAATAAATTTATCAGTAAATATTATGATTGTGCTCATTTTTGACAATGTTCACAAGTAATAGTTGACTATTCTGTTCAAACATATTGTCCGATTATAAATAGTAAGTATTGTAGTTAGTTTAGAATAGGCTCTTAAAAACAATGTTTACTTGGTAATTCGCATCAGAGAGAATTTCACTACAACAGTGATAAAGATAAATTTTTAGTAAACAAGTTTGTAATGTTAAAATAATAAATAATTAATCAGCTACTTTTTAGTTAAAACCATTACATTTTAGAATGTTCGAAATATTATTCGTAAGACGAACACTATTGTTACATTACTTAAATTTTCTGTTTAAAACATTGCAAAATAATAATTTAAACATCTTTATTTTCATTTCTTGAATATAGACAGATTTTCATGTTTTTGTTACATCATTAATTATATTAATTTGTAAATGATAGAAAATGGTTAAAAAATAGCAACAATATGGTCCATTCAACGTGTGTTTACGTTAAATGAGAAGCAGTGCTAAAAAGGAGTTACACTTTTGTTCAGAAAGTTTTTTAAAAAAATTTTGAACATTTCCTATTGGTTCTATGAGCTTATGCAATGTACAAAAATATTTTGATAGTTAAGTGTCATTGTACTTTATCTTTGAAAAAATTAAAAAGTATTAAATTTGATATATTTTGTATCTGTATATGGGTGATTCTTACGAAACATGACAAATCGGACCAAACAATTTCTTCAAATTTAAAGTATTCAAAATAATCTAAAATTTTTTTTGTATACTTCTGTAGCTACACTTATTAATATCTTATAGACAGCAGTGTAGTTTATTGACATTTGCACGAGAAAAAAAATAATATAGAAATTCACCAAATCTTGAATGCCAGGAAAATGACATATTACCTTAGAAGTCTAAAAAACAGTCATTTTAAGTTAATAGTAAGTAACTCAACTTAAGCCTTTATGTTAGATGGACCATAAATTGCTTAAATTAATTCTTTTTATCCACTGTAGAAAGAAACAAAAAAATTTTTGTTGCTGATATGTACAGAATAAAATTGTGTTTAATAATCAATCATTAAATAAATAAATAACTTTGATTGCATCCAAGCATATTACAATCATACATAAACTTGGTATTAGGTTAATATTTGCCTTCCCTCTTTACAGTATTAACAGTTAAAAAGAATTTCTGGTAACACTTCAATGTCCTGGCATTCATAAGCCAGGAAAATGACAGAGAAGGATAACGACAAATTCGCCATTTTATAGCATATAACTTTAATTTAATATTTTGGTTGAAGACGTTTATATTCTGCAGAAAACAACAATATTTCTTAAAATAACTCAGATAAATCTATGTAGTTTTTGTTATTAATGATTTCAAGAAGCCAGGAAAATGACAGCATAAAAACCTACTCACCTTGAAACATTTTTTGAAATAGATTTTGAGTCAGAAAATTGGTTCTTTATTCATGCAACAGGACATAGGAGGGTATCTAATCAATCTATTAACATAAGATATTGATTCCTGGCGCTATCTATTTTGGTTATAAATCACTAAATAAAAGTAGCCAAAATGACAGATTTTCATAGGACAAACAAATTATTGACAGAAAAAATTATTTTAAACGAAGTTTTAGTAAACAATACCCTCTGAGTATATTCTAGAAATGCTTACATAGGATAAGAAAGAAAAAAAATTAGATTTTGAAAAATGTATGGGAAGTTTTGAAGCTAGTTATTATTGGAAATATTGTTTGGGACATGCCAGGAAAATGACATTTTGATATTCAATTAAAATTTTTAAGTATACAAAACAGTCAATGCTAGTGCAAAGTCATTTTAAAATGCTAACAGCAATACTATTTATTAATTTTTTTTTTTAAAAAAAGTTCTTTTAGTATTATAGTATTAAATCTTGGAGCAAGGGACAGTGAATTGTCATGTTTCGTGAGAATCATCCATATATACTTGAATATTCACATCAAATAAAAAGAGCTTAAGGGTTTTATACTATAATTTCCCCCTTTTTTTTACAAAAAAAGAATGAAATTATTACTTGAGAGCGTTGGGGACACGGGACCTTTCAAATGAAAATTTATGAAAACTTGTTTTTTAATTTAATTTTACTATTATGAACATAATTTATTTATTTTTTAGCATATTTTAGGAAATAGGCCAAGTAAAAACAATTTTGGTCAAAATTTTTTTAAAAATTTAATAAAATATAAAAATTTTAAAAAATACAAAAATTGTCCCTTGTGTCTGAAATTTCATCCAAATAACTTAAAATTTTTTCTATAGATAGATAATGATGATATAAAGACTCTCTAGCATCAGTTATTGTTTCACTTCAACAGGTTTTAAGAAAAAAAAAAATTTTAGTTCCATCGCTTTTTTTTCGAAAATTTTCATTTCCTCCTACAGTTAAAGTTGTATAAAAAACTTTATAATTAATATTTCGTGAAAACAATGCTATATTGTCTTTATAACAGTCATATGAAGCATATGAAAAATTTTCAGGCAAAATTTTCAAATATTCAGACACAAGGGACAAATTATAAAAGTAAATTATGCAAAAAAAGTTAACGGAGAAAAACTACTTTTTTTGTGTAAATTAACTAAAACTCACTGTAATAGCTATAATATCATGCTTAAAATATAAAAAGAACTTCCGATGTATTCTTAATATAATATATGCTAAATTTTTACCAATACAAACGATTTTTACATAAAAATATTGTTCGTTATGCATCATATCAATATGTCATATGTAACCTTGAAACAAAGAAAAAAGATTATTTTTGTGTGCATAAAAATTACACTAAAAACATTATTCTCCATAATTATACCAATTAAAAAATATTTTATAGAAATATTGATTTGAACATAAAAAAAAATCAAAATAAGCTTGATAACTACAATGTAAACAAACAGACAGCTTATGGAACGTCAAAAGTGCCACGCCCACTTTTCAGAAAAATAGCTATAAAATCATAAAAAATCATCGTATCGAAAAAATTTGAACAACACGTGATTCAGGCTGACTATCTTTACATTTTTAACAAAAAAAAATTTTTTTTTGAAAATTTTATGATTTCAAGGTCCCGTGTCCCCTTAATAGTTTTAAATTTAACGTTTTTAATGTATAGTTTAACTTTTTTCTCTTGTAATTTTAGCTTCGTCTGCTGGCTTTAGAAGCTTATCTACCAGGAAGGATTGGAAGGTATTTTGAGATTGACTGCTGGGTTCGGCAAATGGAAAATGATACACAGTGGTAGTTCGATCCGTACAGAAAACAGAACAACTGGTTTGGAAATGCTACCAGTGCATTTAAAATTTGTTGGAGATAAAAGTTCTCTTTTTGGTTGCTGTGAAGAAGTTTGAAAAAAGGTGCATTCCTTTGTAATTCATCTATACTGTGTGTTTACATTATTAACTTGCTGATCATTATGAAAATCTTTCAATAAAGCATTTAAAGATACCCGGGTTTATTGCTCTGAAATATAGTTGCACATAAACGAAAAATTGCAATTGAAGGAAAACAAAACTTCAAACTGCATGAAATGACTGTAAAGTTTTGTAACTTTTTTTATTTAAAAATAATAATTAAAATGATAACCAACTGTTGCTTTTTGGAATAAAAATTATTTTATTTAATGACAAATTTGTGTCCTTAAACTGTATTTTACTAAAGGATTATCAGTGAGAATATATTGCTTTTTTAGTTGAGTGAAGTTTATATTCATATTGTCTTTTGTTTTAGAATAAAATAATTAAGTTGTGAAATAATGTTTGTCATGATTTTATTTTTTTTATTCTTAACTACTGCATTGTGTAATTTATTGTGCAATTTTGAAATAAATCTTCGGAATTTTAGAAAATGGGTCTGGCAGATATGTGTTCATTAAGGAAACTTAATAAGATATAATGTTAGAAAATTTTTTATAGTCATTATAGTAAATTTTAAGTATTATGAAAACAGATATAGTTAAAATTCGGTTTCTTTTAAATTTTCCAGATATCGGAAGCAATTTTATTTTAACATTGTTAAACATTAGCTATAACTTATAAGCACTTATACTACTAGCATTGTATTTATTACTCTAATTTTGAATTATTCAGTTTAAATTTGAAATAAGAAGTGTACTTATGTATTTTTATGAAACAATGATAGTGAAAATTTCTTTGGCTTAACATTTAAAATTTAGCTGAACATTTATATACATTATTGGAAAGGCGAAAAATTTTAGCCAATGTAGAGAAGACTCTTTTTTAAATTTTGATCTATAAAGTTCTTTGAAAAAGCAAGTTTTATAAATGCATAACATAGTTCTTTTATGGCTAATTCATCGATACCAGAAACTTGACTCCCGTGTCTGCTTAATTTTTTAAATCCTATTTTCTGAAAAGCTCTGTTTAAAATGTTTACATATTACACCTGCTTTTTTTTAAACCCATTTATGTCATAATACATAATCTATAATGCAGCGAAATACAAGCAGTGGAATTGTTTTAAACAAAAGTCTATTTTGTTATATACCAACGATCTCAAAAGAGTAATGGATTGTAGTCAAATTTTGATAATTCATACTAAAGGCAACTTTTAAAGATAATGTTAAAAAAATATTATTTATCGTCTCATTCTTGTTTGCAATTATACCTGTATATGTGTGCAAATTTAATTTAGATAAAACATAATATTTATTGACAGTTTTGAAATTAGAATGTTACGTAAATTGCTCCAAAGATTGTTGGTTTAGTACATAACACCTTTAAAAAATTATCGAATTGATGAAAATTTCTGATGTGCCCATAAAAGTTATTTTTACAATATTAAAAAATATGAGCAATTTTCATAATATTAGTTGCTTTCCTGTTTTCATTCCCTGGAAAAATTTCTACGTTCCATTTGGGTTTTGTTAATAAAACTTCAGATACTAAAAGAATAAAGTTACGTAAGTATTTCTCCATTTGATTTCAGTGAAAGAAGAAAGGGAAGAAAATGTGTGTAAATTTGTTGAAGTAAGTAATTTGAATATTTTTAAATTATGTTCTTTATTGTGTCAATTATTACAAGAAATGACAACTTAAAAATTGAGCAATTTTATTTTAGAATGAGGGGGGGGGGAATTTAAGTTGAAATTTCCATTGAGTTCAATTGTAAATATATAACTTTAAGATTATATAGTGTGATTTTTATTATGTAATTTCAGAATATAAATAATGATAATTGTGAAATTACAAATGGCTTAAGTCACAACTTTTATAAAGCATGTTTTACAAACTATCAAATTCAATTAAAATTTTTATAAAAAAGGCTCATTTATAAAAAAATTAAGAATACATATTAAAATTATTAGTGATATAAAATTCATCAGAAAACCCATTGTATGAAGAAAAGAAAAAAATATTCATAAAAGTTGCGATATAATATTTCTTAATTAAATTTGAAGTATTCAAAAAATCAGCCGAACATAAGATATATTTTGGAGTAAGAAGGAGGAAAATGGATGGTTAGCAAAAAATCGCTGATTTAGTATTTCTGTATTGCTAAGTAAATAATGCATGGAATGGCATTATAAAACTATTGTTCTATCCTTCACAACAATACAGAAAATTAAGTAAAATTATATTGCCGAATTATTCTACTACCATCCATATCTTCCTCTTGCTTACTCCCAAAAATAAAAAGCAACGCAAGATAATGTCAGAAAATATAAAATCTTATTATTATATAGCATCAAAACTAATGCAAGATTATATTATGGCGAACGCTAGATAATATTAGTTTGAATAGAACCTAATATTATATAATGCAGAGCAAACAGCGACCTCTTGTATCTTTCTAATATTAGATGTTGTGCAAGATAACGTTAGATTTTACCCTTTTTCTGATGTTATCTAATATTATGTGCTACTTGGGGTCTCTGGGAATAAAAGTTTTTGTGTGCTGCAACAAACTTGGCCTGGTTTTCAATTAATCATAAAAACATGCCGAACCTAATAATAAATCAATTTTTCCAGATTTCATAAAGTTAATATCTTTCAAAGAAACATGGGAAGGTATTTTTAGTCCCTTAACATTTATATGCGTTGTTGGGGTCAAATCTATAATTTTTGGAAGAATCAACTCCTAAGAGAAATTCCCTTTCTTATTCGAAATAGCTGAAGAAATCTTATAAATTAATGCGATTAATGTTCCATTAATACCAGAAACTCGAGTTAAGTGTTTTTCTCTTTTTGAGACACAATTGTTTTTCAAAATCAGGCGATATGAAATTTGTCATAGAGCCACCATCAATCTAAGCACGTGCTTCGATAAAATTATTATCTCTATTTCGAATCTATAAACTAGCCGTAGATAAAACCACATCATTATATTTTCAAATGTCAAGCAACTAAGCGAGATCAACCAGTTTTTACATTTATATATTTGACTAATTGTTAATTAACATGGCATCATCTTGAAAAACAGTTTTATTTTGCTTTTAGAACCTAAGTGGAAGAGTTTTGCTAAAAACTCTTCGCGTGTCGTAATAATATCATAGTGAAAATACGGGAATTTCAAAATCACGTGCAAAAAGGTAACAATAACTACGCTTAAAAAAATCATTTAAATTTATAATGAAATTGGCAAAAATGATACACGTGAAAAAGAGATCAATTAAATGTGTAATTTATAACCCACGATTCGTGGCATTGTAATAAATGTACAGGGATTTTAAAAACCACATGGAAATTAGTGGTTATAAATGACAAAAAAAAACATTCGAAACATCACTTGGATTTATAATAAAATCGGCGAAAATAATGCGAGTCAAAAAGTTATTACTCAAATTCGAAACTCGTGTATCAAAAATGTTTGATTTTTTTAAAACCATATGAAATTTCGTAACAATAACCGTTGAAAAAGCGAGCGAGAAACAAATGGATTTACAATAGAATCCGTGTAAATTGAGTGCATCAAAAAGACAACTCAAATTTAGAATTCAAAATTTTCGTTTTTCTTTTTTTTTCATTTCAAAAATTGTGTTTAGAAGCTCTTTCGGGTCGCAGGTTGAGCACCCCTAGAATAAATTATCCTATTATTTTACATAATTCTTTTACGACTCATATTTGAATAATTTAATGCTAAATTGAACTTCTCTTGTCATCGCAGACGGGACAATGTACGACAGCACAGCTGTCGCAAAAAAAGGAGGAGGAAACAAAACTGTAAACCTTCAGCACATATTCATTTATTAAGCTATCAACTGAATCCACTAGATAAAAAGATGTATTTTTGAATTATATTATAGCTATTTTATTTCTTACTTGGGATTCGATGTCAAATTCAACATTAAATGAAGTATTGCAATGCGTATAAATTTAAATACTTGACACGTATAAAACCATAAATCATAAATTAGGTGCACTATTTAAAATTAATTACATCTTCAAATTAATTATTATTATTATTGTTTATTTTTATAAATTAATTGCTTTTTTGCTACTAACTTGTTACTTATTAATTATTATTTTATTACTTATTAATTCTTCTTTCATATTAGAAACACAGACAGCGGGCTCAATGTTAAAAATAAATGAAAAGTAATTTTACTCGTTGACGAGACTTATAACAATTCAAATAGGAAACAGTTTTTATAAGTCGTATTAAAATTTTTTACTTTTATAAATTTCACTATAAATGTTAAGATTTATTAGATCTAGCACCAACTGTAATATCGTAATCGTATGCATTTCTTAACTAATTCTAAGCTTGTTGAATCTGGCAACGACAGGAAAGTAGCTTGTCAATAAAGCATCTAACATCTTATGCTCATGTGTTGATTTTTCTAATTTGTACTTTAACGTTAAATGTATTCTCTCTAAAGTAGTTTAGTCATGCATAATTAATATATATTATAATGGCGACGAGGTAGTTGATTGAGAATAGTATTTATTCTTCATAAAATTCGACTCGAACTTAGAAAAATTACTACAACATGAGTAAACTAGGCCTAATCCACAACATCACGTTGTTCGATGATGATGATTTTTCTTTGTACATTGAACAGTTGGAGCAGTATTTTGTGGCCAATGATGCTGACAATTCAAAGAAAGTGTCTGTTTTACTTTCTGTTATAGGGGAAAAGTGCGTATAAACTTTTACGGAGCTTATTGACGACTGAAAAGCCATGTGATGCAACATATGATCAACACTTTAAATGAGTATTTCAAGTCAGCTCCAATAACAATTGCTGAAAGATTTTGCTTTCATCGGCGTAATCAATTATCGGGAGAGTCTATTTCCGAAGACTAGCTTTGACCTGTTCCTTTGGTGCTTTTCTCGACGAAGCTTTGAGAGACAGATTCGTTTGTGGTTTAAATGATGAAAATATGCAGAAACGTCTGCTGGCGAAAAAAGACTTGAAACTTTCAGATGCAACAGAAATAGCAGTTGCCACGGAGATAGCCAATGCTGATGCATCCAATATGAAAATTTTTTCTCCAGTTGTGAATAAAATGTTGAGTCAGTCTGGAAATCGTGGACAAAAGAAGGTGAACTTTTCTAATAATGCGTCCAGTAAAGAGTCTAAAAGTAAATGCTTTAGCTGTGGTGCAGTTCACAATCCTAGAAACTGTAAATACAAGAGAGCAAAATATCATTCTTGTGGCAAAATAGGCCACATATCTCCTGTATGCTTATCAAAAAAATAAACGACAAGACTCGACAAATAAGGTTGAAGTCAACTTTATTCCATTAAGTCTATAAATCAAGTAAATGTGAAATACACAGTAAATGTTAAAATTAACGACAAACCTATAGAGATGGAACTGGACACTGCCGCTGATATATCTATAGTGTAAGAAACGTTTATTGATAAACATTTACCTGATTCCATTTTGCACCCTACCTCTCTTAGAGACTATAATCAATCAGAAATTGAGGTAGGTGGTGAAATGCATGCTGTCGTTAATTATAAAAGTCAACTGTATACTGTTCCGCTCATAATTGCAAAGGGAGATAGGTCTGCCTTGTTTGGTAAAAACTGGATTAGTAAATTTAAACTCGACTGGAAAGAAATTTTTACCATACACTCCATAAAAGGCGAAAACTCCCTCAGTATTGATCAGATCAGACTCAAGTATGCAGAACTTTTTAAGCCAAGCACTTCTCCTATTTAACATTTCAAAACTACATTGAAGATACAAGGTAATGCTGGACCAGTTTATTTGTGGAGCAGGACCTGTGCCCTATGCATTGAAGCAAGCGGTGTCTGATGAAATTAAACTGTAAGAGCAAAGAGGTGTATGGAAGTCAGTTGAACATTCCAAATGGGCAACACCATTGGTAGTTGCACCAAAAAAGAATGGTGTTGTTAGGCTTTGTAGAGATTTCAAAGTGACTGTAAGCAAAATGTTAGAGCCTAATCAATACCCTCTGCCTACGAAACAAGACTTGTTTGCAACACTAAGAGGTAGTAAATACTTTTAAAAACTAGACTTAGCTCAGGCTTACTCACAAGTAGAGCTTGATAGTGAGTCTCAGGAGTTATTAACCCTCAACACTCACATGGGTTTAGTTCGACCAGCTACACTACAGTATGGAGAAACTAATGCACCTGCTATATTCCAGTCTATAAAGGAGCAAATGCTGCAGAACTTCTCTTCAGTCATTTTCTTTCAAGATGACATTTTGATATCACCTGTGTGTCTGCGTCTAAAGAGCAACATTTCCAGTTGTTAGAGCAAATTTTGCAGCAGTTCCTTAAGCTCAATGTGCATCTTAATGGGGATAAATGATTTTTTTATGCAACATAAGGTAGAGTTCCTGGGTCCCATAGTGAATGAAAAAGGAATTCACGCAACTGAAGAAAAAGTGTCAGCAATTGAAAATATAAAACCTCCTCAAAATGTTACAGAACTTAAATCCTTTCTTGGTCTGCTGAGCTGTTATGCAAAATTCCTTAAAAATGCCTCAACATTGCTATCATCTTTGTATGAATTATTAAACAAAGATATTCCGTGGACTTGGTCTGAAAAATGTCAGAAGACTTTTGTAAGGTGTAAATCTCTATTGACATCCAATGCAGTTTTAGCTCACTGTGATGAGAAATTACCTCTGCAACTTTGCTTGGGATGCTTCTCCTGTAGGCCTTGGGGCAGTATTGTCTCATATTGTGAATGGCGTCGAGCAACCAGTTGCGTATGCTTCAAGAACATTGTCAAAAGCTGAAATGAACTATTCGCAGACAGAAAAAGAAGCATTATCTCTAATTTTCGGCTGTAAGAAGTTCCACCAATATTTATTTGGTCGTGAATTTGTCTTAGTCACAGATCATCAGCCACTACTAACTATCTTCGCTCCTGATAAGTCCGTACCTGCAATGTCAGCTGCACGTCTGCAAAGATGGGAGCTTTTATTGCCTTCATTTAAGTATTCAATCAAGTACAAAAAAGGCATTTTACACCGAAATGCAGATTCTTTGTCAAGGCTTCCATGCGAAAGGAGCAATGATATACATCTCACAGAGGTTTTTAAAGTATACTATGTTGATGAAATACCTCTCACATCAGCTGAAATTTCTCGTGCATCCAGGAATGATAGAGTTCTTGGTGTTGTTCTCAAGTATGTGCAGTATGAGTTCCATGAGATCACTAAGGATCCTGAGCTGAAACCCTTTTTCAACAGAAGGGATGAACTTTCTTGTGACAGTAATTGTCTGTTATGGGGAATGCGCGTTGTCATTCCTGAGATACACCGAAAAAGAGTACTAGATCTACTTCATGGAACGCATCCAGGTATAACCAAAATGAAGGCCATTGCTCGTAGCCATTTATGGTGGCCAAATTTAGAGAAGGACATTGAAAAGATTTCCTCGGAATGTTTGGCATGCCAACTAACCTCTAGAGATCCTTCTGCCTCACCACTTCAACCATGGCTCTGGCCAAAAGCACCTTGGCATCGAATCCATATTGACTTGCCCAAAAGAATCAATGTGATCATTTCCTTGTTGTTGACAGTTTCTCCAAATGGATGGAAGTAATAAAAATGTCTTCAACTGTGACCTCCAGCCCAATAACAGTCCTTCAACAGTTATTTTCAAGATATCCAGTGGAATTTGTTTCTGACAATGGTCCTCAGTTTATAGAGCATGAATTTCAACAATACATGAAGACTTTGGGCATAGTGCATACCCTTATACCTGCATATCATCCACAGTCAAACGGTTTGGCTGAGCGTTCTGTTCAGACATTCAAACAAGCTTTAAATAAGATGTTAGCGGATAAAGAGGACACTTTACTGTTTCCAACAAAATACAACGCTTTCTGTTGACATATCGTGCAACTCCTCACAGTACCACTGGCAAGTCTCCTGCCGAGATTTTCCTGGGTCGCTGTATTAGAACAACATTAGATCTGTTACACCCCAGCACATCTTCACATGACACAAAAAAGCAAGCCTCACAGAAATCCTATCATGACCGTGCACACTATCGGTATTGTACATTTGAGTCTGACCAAATGGCATGGGTACGCTCATACAAACCAAATCAGAAATGGATCCAGGGCAAGTTGGGCGGATGGATCCAGGGCAAACCCAAAGGTCTTGCCTTGGATCAAATACTTGGATTGTACAGATCTCTGGGAAGTTGTTCCTTGCTCATACCGATCAACTTCGCCCCTGTTCAGTTGATGATAATGATTCAACCAGAGATGAAATTCCAACTGAGTCTCATAATTGTAACGAAGTATTCCCCGACTGTGATGTTAACCAATACATAGCTCCCAACTGTCATGCTAACCAAAATACACCTCCCAAGTGTGACATTAACCAAGATTCCAGGTCATCTACCAATTTACCATCCTGTATGGATGGCAATTAACCCCTAAAGGCCATATCACACATAGCGAAAATTCGTTCAATTCAACCTTCAACTCAACCCCAACTTCTACTCCGAAGACAACCCCGTCCGAAAACATAGGTGTGCTATACTTATCCGAGTTGGAACAACTGGTGTTCAACTCTTTCACATCTCTTGGAAAGTGTTGAAGCAACTTCACAATTCAATCAATCAGGTGGCAGCAACCGCATGGGGTTATGGGATAGCACAAGTCAAAACAATATGGCGACAAAGTTTATGTGAGGAAGCAGCGTATCATATTTGTTATATATTAATTCAGGTGAGTTTTTAATTGAGTATTGATTTTAAAGTTATTTTATAAGAAGTATAAATCTGTTTCTAACCATTAAAGAAGTTTATGTTATAAATGTGTTATGTTTTTAACCGTGAATTAAAAGTATGATTTTCTACGCCGAATTCGCCAATCTGAAGTAAATTTTGCAAGTACATAAAAGTAGTTTTGATATACCGCAATTACTTTAAATGATAAACAAATTTTATGAATTGCATTTAATCTTTTTTGTACGTAACTGTATATTTGTTAGTATTCGCCGAATTAAAATACAGTTTTTTTTTTCAATTACTTTGCTCTTTCTATAGTTCCGATAAGATTATACCAGCAATTTTTCTAGAGTTGGTACTGAATTCAGTGATTTTGAATATTTTTTTACAAAGAAAAAAATTGCGTTATAAAACGTTAACTTTTCTGAAAACTTACTCATACCTAAACAATATACTGACAGAATTAATTTCTTTGTATTATTTTATTTTTAAACTGTATATTTGTCAGTTTTCGCGGAATAAAAATTTGTTTTTCTCCAATTACTTTGCACTTTCTATTCGACAAGTGAGCCCACCTTGTAAAAACCCACTTGGGACGCTAAGTGGGTTTTATTAAAAAAAAATGTTTTTATTAAAACTTATTGATTCACATTTAATTTTATGTAATTTATTGTGTGCATAAGTTTGTCAAATAGATTTGCATGCTTTATATGATTAAGTTTTTAATATTTATAAAGTTGAAGAAGCTTGAATCTGTAATTTTATATTATTAAAAACTTTAAGCGGGTTTTCTCAAAAAGTACCTAATATTTAATGAAATTAAATTAGATGGAAATTTAAATAACATAGTCTGTAAGGATCAATTTTTCAAATGCAGTTGCATGCTTTATATTATTTATAAGCAGGTTTTGAATAAATTATGAAGGAAGTTGAAAATATTTTTTTACCCGTTAAAGCACTTAACAGGTTTTTTCAAGGTAATATTTTTAATAAAAAAATATTAACACAAGTTTAACTTTAAATATACTAATATATAGGTACTTTTTATATCTGCTTTTTAATTTATTAGATATAATTTAATAGATTAATTAATTTTTTTAAATTAAAGATAAAGTTAAAATTATTTATCTAAAAATTAAGTCTTTTTCTTAAGGTTAAATATTTTAAAAAATGGGACAAGTAACTGATTTTCCTTGTAATTATACATAATTTTAATTTCACTTTCTATTAATCTTATTATAAAAACATGGAAGACCATGAAAAATTTATTTCAGCTTTTACTGATAATAAAAAACTTACTCATAACATAACAATATGCTGACGGAATTAATTGGTTGGTATTATTTTATTTTTAATGACTGTTCCTTATTGTCTGTTTGCCTTAAATAGACTTGCTTTACCTTTCTTAATAAAATTTTTTACTCGCATTGCAGCAAAGATGAGTCAAAATTTTGAACTAGCTCCCATTGGGGAAACTTTTAAATGGAACATCGAAATGGAGAGCACATCTATTGAACTCTTGAAGAAAACATTTGGAATGTAACATCCGCCACCACAGGAAATATCATTTAAGAGCTCATAAAAAATTAATCGAATCTGCTTTTACATTTCTTTTGGAATAAATTGATCACTTTTATCAGTT